TATTTGTACATATTTATGCTGTGATGCGACCCATGTTCCACAGTTTAAATTTCCATGTAGTCGGAAACAAATCATTTTATAATAGAATTTTTCCATGAACAAAATAATTCATCAAAATATATGCAGTACAGTAGTTGATTCTTACCCCACCCCCTCCCAAAAAAAAACCAAATATTGCTAGGCCTAGGCCTACCAGAAGATCAAGTGAAAAAACAACTAGTTTTATCTTTACTCTCTTCCCTCGTCTATAAAACCAAAAGTGATATTTTTAACCACAACCACAATCCAATGATAGCTTAAAATAATTAGACCTGAGAAAAGATCCAGTAGTACATAATGTAGGCCCTAGGCCATGCATGTTAAGCATCGTATTTCGCGGCCTTGTGACAGTCTGGACTATGCTTTAACAAGTTTTCCAAGTAAATATTGCAACGTAACATTGGCATTACTAATCATAAATATACTTCTTTAAAATGCCATGGTGCAGTAAGTACTTACATATTGGCCTAAAAAATATAAAGTCAAATGTAGGTAGTCTGCCTATCTTTTTTTTATCCTTGTGCACGGCTGGTTACTCAATTTTAAGTTCTAGACTACTTTCTACTGTGTATACTACTGTGAATTTTCTTTAAAGCCTGGTTGTACTGTACAACTGCTGAAATGAACTTTAGTGGGAAGAGTAAAAGAAAAATTTATTTTTGGTTTTTCTGAATCCACAACCCTAGGACAATTTTTTTTTATAGCACTTCGAAATTTTGGCCTAAAATACCCTGTTTTAGACTATTGAAGATAAAATTTTGTTTTAAGTCACTTTTACATATGCTATGGATATGAAATATAACAAGAATTTGGTTAAGTAGTTACTCTTAACTCTTGTTAAAAAATTTTATCGGAATGACGACGTCATCACGATAAATTCTAATATGGCATCCATTTTGGTGGGTACAGGAATAAAATAAACCGTATATACAAATTATGAAACATCACATTATAAACCAAATGAAAAAACGAAATAGTGAAATTTTGCTCTATAAAAGACCAAATAATCCCATTTTAGGATTTGATCGGGGTATGGGAAACATTTAACTTTTTATTATTACCATCATCTTCATCATCTTCATAATGATGCGGTTGGCGATGGATGAAGAAAGATGAGGATGAGTATGATGATAAGAGGGAGATGAGGATGATGGATGATGAGGATAATGATGAATGAGGAGGATGATGAGAAGAATAAAAATGATGAGGATGATGATAATGATAACGATGATTGATGAGAATGATATGAGGAAGAAGACGATTATGATGATGGATGGGTATGATGTTGATGAAAATAATGATGGAGGATTTGGAGTATGAGGTTGAGTATGGGGATGATGGTGATGATGATGACGATGGTGATGATGACAATGGCGGTGAGGATGACGACAATGATGTTGACAACGATGAAGATGATGATGACAATGACAAGGAATAGGATGATGGATGATGATAATATCAGTAGTAGTAATAATATTATAATGATAAATAATATAATAATAATTAATATTGATATATAACAGTACTAAAAAAATAATTCATTGTAATATAAATATGAAATAAAAAACATAAATTATAAAATATAATTTAAAAATCTTAAGAATATTTGGTTGAATAGTAAAATTTAGTTAAAGACAAGATACTTTTCATATTAAAACAAATCAGCTTTTTGAGTTATTATTTATTATTTAACTGGTCGAACTGCCATGTTTTTCAAAGAAAACTGCAGTGATCTCGAGGTCTAGCCATGGGCACGGAGATAAAAAAATCTTGAAGAACAGTAGGGCAGATGTTGGGCGATTTAGAATTAACTGTCTATTTTCAAACGGGTATAAGTTTCTTTTAATTACGAGTAATATCGCTAGTTAGTAAAATTTCACCAGGTAGGTAATGGTTTAGCCTTACATGTTTTTTTTATGGAATTCCCAAGCTGAAATTCGGCATAAAAAAACTTGTTTCGCATGAAATTCACGTAAATTCAATCATTAGACTTTGTTTTATAAAATGTAAATATGATTTAGCTTCAGTTTATTACAAAGGCAGGGTCCTAGCATGTGACCCCTTTCAACGGCGAGGATAGTTTGCTATCCTGGAAGTTAGCCCAGGTTTGCGATCACCCTTCTTAAGACTGATGGATTGCAACTACATCGGAAATTACTACAAAATTGGATTTTTTAACGTTATATTTCTACATCGATTTGTAAAATCACTGAATATTACGAGTCTCACTTATGCACGGTACTGAATGACGTCCCTCCCAGCCGACTATTCTGCCATGGACCTTTCTGTCGGAGTTTAATACTTTTGTCGGTTCTTGCACACACATGCAGCGTACAAAGAAATTATATTTCCAGCGGTTGGGTTTATATGCAATATGCGAATGAGTATATAGAGCCATGGAACTATTGTGGAACTACTTTCAGTGCCATACTTTAGTAGTTATCTTGGTAACCTTTTGAATAAAATTGACTGTACGATTTTTTAGCATGGCGCCTAAACGTGGCTGTCATTTCTTACCCCCCACCCCACAAGCGTGGCAGTCTGGCCATGCTTAAGTATAGCTGGCAAGACTACTGATATATTAAATATACATACGCTCCCACATAGTGGAGCAATGTTAAGCTAGAAAAGCTAATTAATATTCAAATTAGGTTTTCTGCATAGCACTGTAACACAATATATTATCGTATCAAGCATAGCCTTTCAATGAAAAGTTCCTTATTTTAGTTATGTAAAAAGGTGTCTGTAGTGGGATTTGAACCTGCAACCTCTCACTATCAAGGCGAGTATCATACCGTTAAATGATACGGACTTACACGGTATAGGGGCAAATCTAACCCCAAGCCACTCTTCTTCATACAAACTGACCTGACTTAAGCTAGAAAAGTTGCCATTTAAAATTCATATTATATATATATCTCCATATAATATATCACAGTGAATGCAGCAATTTTGATTCCAAATATGTTACTTCATTATATACTAGCTACAAGCTCTCTGAAACATGAAATACTATTAATTATTAGAAATATTAAGGCAAAATTTATTGGTAATATGGCATTTGATTCTATGAAATATTCACAATTTTAGCAAAAAGTTCATAGTTCAAAACTACTAATTTAAAATTTGTTGTGGCTTGCCTATATTTACAATTATAGGAAAAAAAAGCCAAGAGTGAAAATCCACCATCTTATGCTGAAAAAGCAGGTTCTGCATCGCAACCACCTTTCAAAGATGTAAGCTTAACTTTCATAGAAAATTTGAGTTTAATTATATGCATAATTGTTCATTTTAGAAATTGCTCCAGTGAACTGGTATTTGGATAAACATAAAAATCATACAACAAAATATAAGTTGTATGATTGTCATTATTTTTAAATTTAAAATCAAGTTATAAAGACTTACGAATTAAGAGACGCTTACTATATAATTTCAAAACAAAATTTAATGACAAGAAAGATCGACGTTTCGGGTCCATCATGGAACCATTCTCAAGATCAAGTAAATTGAAGACTTACAGTTAAAGGTAGCCACTTACAGAACATGATTTATAAACTGCACTCAAATACAAAAATAATACCATTCAATCATTTTACCATGAAATTCTGGTGATCAATTTGAACTGGTCAGTGAGTTGCTGTTAAGACCCAGACATTTGAATTTTCGTTTTTTGATTCTAAATATGTGGCAAAGACAAGCCAAACCAGTCACTCGTCGCAAATCGTGTTTCAGAGAAATTAGCAAAAACATGCTGGAATGTCAAATTTTTTAAAATCTATTTTATTGCACTAAACTATTACCTTTATATATCTACACATCATTCTATGCTGTTATTTTCAACATTTTCAATGTTAAAACAATATTTTTTAAGGATTTAAAGATAGTTTCTGCATGAGAAATGCCTGAAATCATAAACTTTTTTCTGGTTAATTTCTCATATATTGTTCTTTAAACAGCTGTGTGGTTAAACGCTTGTAACTTCATAAGGAAATGTCCGATTTGAATGATTTTTTTTACCATTTTATAGCTATTATTTTACTCTCTAACACTGTATTAATAACTCAAAATCGATTTTTGTGATGAGTAACTGGTTTGGCTTGTCCTTGCCAAATATGTTACTTCATTATACTAGCTACAAGCTCTCTGAAACATGAAATGCTATTAATTATTAGAATTATTAAGGCAAAATTTATTGGTAATTTGGCATTTGATTCTATTAAATATTCACAATTTTAGCAAAAAGTTCATAGTTCAAAACTACTAATTTAAAATTTGTTGTGACTTGCCTATATTTACAATTATAGGAAAATAAAGCCAAGAGTGAAAATCCACCATCTTATGCTGAAAAAGCAGGTTCTAAATCGCAAACACCTTTCAAAGATGTAAGCTTAACTTTCATAGAATTTTTATTAGTTTTAATTATCTGCATAATTGTTCATTTTAGAAATTGCTCCAGTGAACTGGTATTTGGATAAACATGAAAATCATACAACATAATATAACTTGTATGATTGTCATTATTTTTAAATTTAAAATCAAGTTATAAAGACTTACTGTTAAAAGTAGCCACTTACAGAACATGATTTATAAACTTATCACTCAAATACAAAAATAATACCATTCACTCATTTTACCATGAAATTCTGGTGATCAATTTAAACTGGTCAGTGAGTTGCTGTTAAGTCCCAGACATTTGAATTTTTGTCGTGGGCTAAAAAGGTTGCGGAGCAGAGTTGTAGATAAACAGCTCTCTTCTGCTTCCCACCATCATATTGAATTGTTTTTTTGATAATTTCATATTAAAAAAGAATATTATGATTGCCAAAATGAATAGAATACTATAGATAAAATATAATGTAGAAGATTTTCTATTTGTGTTCCAATGTTCATTTGGAATTTGATTTTATGGCACTTCATTGCTTTAGTAGTAGACAAGCTATAGGAAATTTGGTTGGGTTTATAATACATAATAATAGTAATAATGCCATCCTATATGGCAAAAAGGAGAAAATTATGAATGTTGACTGGCTCACTCATTACAATTACTGAGCAATACATTAATAATTAGAATTCAAAAAGTCATTAAAAAATGAAAAGTGTTTTCACGAATTCATCAATTTTTCAGAGTATCTGCTATTTTGTGTATCATTTTTTTTTTTTTCAGGGGGAATGTGATAATAGACGAGGTCTTACGGTTATAACAAGAGGGAACTCAAAGGGAAAGAAGTATTGCAGTATTTTCTGTTCTATCAATTCAAATTATTTAGATGTTTTAATAGGATTATCACTATTATTGTTGTACAAATTGACTTAAAAATTACCAAACAATTTGAACATGTGGTTAATTGCTTGTAAAGACCTCGGCGCTTTACAGATGTAAGCGCAATTATTAAAGGCGTTGAATTATTTTAAGGATTTACCTAATATGTAAATAATTAGCTACTGTGTAAATATGTATTTACTTGTTTTATTTTAAGTTATAATTCATTTGTAACAGTTTCATTCATCTATATAATTAACTGTTTTATTTATTAATATTTCATTTCTTGTCCGTTTTTTATCTTACCTTTTATTTCTTTTTCATTGTCTTTTCTTTTCTTCCCCTTTCCTTCCTTTTCTTTCATTCCTGTCTTTCTTTCATTTTACTTCCCCCATTTTTGCTTTATCGACATTTTCTTTTTTCCCCCCATTTTTCTTTAATACTTTTTCGTTTTTTCTTTTAAACATCACTAATTGATGAACAATTCATAGGCTTATCAAATATAATAATAATAATAATAATAATAATAATAATTATTATTATTATTATATAACCCATGGTCCTATCAAAATATAAAATTAATAATAGAAATTTCTACTGTAAAATTAGGAAACTAACCTAGTGATAATGTTACTAGAGTGAAATTTTCAAATAAAAGACAATTGTTTTCAATTGCCATTAAACATGATAGTTTGATTTTGTTCATCTCCAAAGAAATCCAGACCATGTGGGCAATGTGAGGACTCCAAGTACTTTAACAGATGGAAAAAATGAAGTTAAAATGACAGTTTGCTTTCACACAGTTGTTACTCCGGAATTTAATTTCAACCCCAAAACTGACACAATGGTCATGCGATTTAACACCATTGGAAATTTTCAGAAAGATGTTGGTAAAATGGAAGTTGAAAGGTAGGAATGAATATTGAACAATTTCTTATTAATAGTACTAATAGTAGTAGTAGAAGTATGTATTAGTAAACCTAGGGCGCTGGCTACAAAATTTAGCAAAATTAAGTGAATGTGCTTTATGTGCTTGGCATTGGACACGTATAGACTTTAAACTCAGTGGTGGGGCTTATTCAAGCATTGACTTATATCAGTAAAAAATGGTAAATATAGTAATAGTATTTTTGTGATATGCTTCTTCCTTTTGGAGAGTTGTTGCCTGGAGAGAGCATTATAGCTGGAGGAGGTTTTTGACAATTTCTAAGTATGGCTTTGGGATAAAAATAAAAAAATCACCTTAGTTATATTTGTTGTGGTCATACGACCATTGGCAATAATCTCTTTTGAGGCGTTGACAAAAATAAATTTTCATCTCAATTTAATTTATTGTTGCTCCTAAAAGCCATCAAGTGCTATTATCTACAAAATTACTATATACAGTTTTCGCACCGCACCTTTAAGTCAAAAAGCAGTTTGGATTCGCATGATGGAAAATAATGTTAACTGGGATCAGGGAGGCCATGAACTAAGTCACGACTACGATGTCCTATTAATCAAACAGAGCACACAGGGGATGGGGGCACCTGGTTAAAACTTGTGATGGTGCACTCACTCTCTGAAGCATGAACAACCTAATTCCATCAATGTGATGGTGCACTCACTCTTCGAAGCGTGAACAACCTAATTCCATCAAGGGTCCATTAGCCTGAAGAAAGTGACCGAAGTAGTTGCTGAAACCGTTGCTAAGGTAAGCAACTAATTGGTTAAACATAACAGATAATTCTACAATTACCTCGACAACAAGCAGTTTTGTGATACAACTACAAGTTGCAACTGCGTATGACAGTGACAGTTTACTACAGGCCTAGGTTGGGCTGGCCAAGGATGTTCAGAACTCTTCGTGGTCATGTTGTGGCCTGCCAGAACTCAAGCTTATAGATGATTAGTCAGAATTTTCGGTCAGTTTCATTTCATTGTATGTAGGTAGGCGTACATGTGAAGCATGGATTTTCCTCACTGGCTTTCCTCGCCTCCACCTATCTGCGATTACTCCTAACTGAGGTGCATAACAAATATCAACACAAAAGAGAGTGATGCATGATGAGATTTGTAGTTTTTTACCTGTTTATAGGTGAATATGCTGTATTGCAATAGCAAATACAGTATATGTTTTGTGGTATCAAATAGCTAACATCATACTCTATGACTATGTAACTCATTTAGAATTTGCAGACAGTGGGTCCAGATGAGAGAAAAACAGAATTATTGAACCAGTTTATTACATTACATATACAGTATTTAATATTTGACTGATATGCTTGGACGGGGCTGGGGATATGTTTATTGTTTTAATTTTTATTGTTGTTGTGACTGTTAATATTTTTTATTTATGTTTATATTATATTTTTATTTACTTATTTCATTTTATTTTTCTTAATCATTCTTAATTTACAAAGTGAATTAATTCAATGTAATATATAAAACTGAATATAAATTATTAAAAAAAAATCTATAATGAATTTACAATTAAAAATGCAAAAATTTTAACAGGATCAAATAACAATTAAAATAGGCCACAGAAACAGTATTACAACAGAGAAAGACTTTAAACTAAAGTAGCCAAAATCAAATAAATAAAAAATATATATATAATATACATATTTTTAAGGAAATAAAACTATCAATCATTCTAAATTTACAAAATGAATTGATTCAAAACAATTTAGAAACTGAATATTAATAATTAAAGAAAAATCAATAATGAATTTACAATTAAAGATGCGTATCGCCGATTATCACGTAACGAATCCTATAAAAAGGCTGCCGCTCGTCGATTCAAATCATAACCGCACTAGACATCGCAGTATCGTTACCATATTGACATCACCCCATTTAAATATACCTATTCCCCAAAACACTGCCAATACGCCATTTATACAATAACTGTAAGTTAGAAACATGTTTAGTAAGTTTTGTGGTCGTCTGGAACTCGTCAAATACATCTACATACGTCAGAATACGTCGGAGATAAGTTTGTTTCATATAAGTTCAAGCACGTTACTCATAGGTTAGAAATACGTTTTGACTTTTGAGTAACTTACAAGTAACGTGTGTCAACGATCGCTTAACTTTACCTACAACTTATGTCCCGAGTATGCGGAACGTACGTGCCTATGCTGGCATACGTCGGAAAGTTTTGTGCATGCACAAAACTTTTCGACGTACTCGCCATACTAGGACGTATACCAGCGTGCTTCAGTGTGCTCTTAACTTATATAAAACTTACCAATAATTTATTGGACGTACGCCAGCGTATTTGCCATTTTTTTCATACGTCGGCATACGCTGGCTAAATCGTCAATGTGTGACCGGGCCATTAAGGAGGAGTAGTGTATGTTACAAATTTTAAGGCATATCCTGTTATTGGCTTATAATTGTTTGTTGGATGTGGTGTTTGGAATGAGGAATTTAAGGAGTTGAAGGGTATAGAATTGTTAGTGAATGTTGAGGTACATTCTAGTGATAAACTAGAGATGTCTCCAGGCCCGCAACAAGATTGATGGGGAAGATCAGTTTAAAAACTGAGCAGAACTCGCCTTTTGTAATGCTGAAGAAAGGTGGTCTCACTAAGGAATCACACAGAAAAATTGTGTTTTTAGGTGGCCAGAAATGCATTCCTGACATTTTGGTGCCATTTTTTGGTGTAAAATGTATATTTCTCTGCAAAAGCAATATACATATTTACCATCATAATGTGTTGGGTCAGTGATGACAAGGCCTGTTTCAACAAGGGTTCCATGTTAGTGAATATATTATCTATTAAAGTAGCAGATCTATGTTACTATTTTAAGCCTGGTTATGGTAGGTAAGAAATGAAAACTATGAGAGAGTATCAAGAAATATGTTTACACTGGGGTCTTCGAATTTGCATGCTCAAACAAATTCTTATTAAAGTCACCCATAAAGAGTACGTACTTGTTTTGTTAAAACACTATGGGAAATAAATATTCAAGCTCTTGAATGAAGCTACTAAATTTGCTGTTTAGAGGCTTATAAATCGTACCTACGGTTAAAATTGTTTCATTACCATCATTAATCTTACAGAATTGGGTCTCAGTGTATTCATATTGTGATTTCATCAGAACACAGTGATTAAAGTGGGAGGGAATGTATAATGCCACTCCACCACAATCTTTGTGTTTACTACTAACTGGTAATATGATTAAAACTGGGAATGGAATACAAGGACGGAGCAGTTTTGTCCGAGAATCATGTTTCTGTTATGCCAACAATACATGATCAAGGTGTATTGCAGTATCCTTGCTGCTTAAGTTTTTGTTCATACTGTAATTCTTTGGTTGTGGTGAATTATGGAAAGATTTCTAACTTGTTTACTAAACTTAAGCAAAACTAGAGTAATGATCACCTACAATCTTGTGCTGAATATACTGAATAAAAAGGAGAGCATAAAAAATTGGCTTTCTTGAGGAAGCAGGAAACAAAAAAACCAACTAGAATTCTTTCAAAAATTAAAATTAAACCTTTTAAAATGGTCTTATATGATTTTACATATTTTTTTTAAAATCTTTTCAGGTCAGAAAGTAATTATGCTTTTGTGAAAATAGAGCTTACGATAAAACCATACCACTTCTCAAGCAAAGATATCAAATACAAGTATCTGTTGAAGAGATGCATTAAAGGACAGCAAGATCCTATTTACATCTGGGAATTCATTGACAAATATCCATGTTTACCTGGACATGTTAACAGATTGTTGAAGGTTCCAAAAGAAGCATTTCATAAGCAAGGTATTTATTAATTCATACTGAATGGGTTCTTGATTTGATAATGATGGTTTTATGTACCACTTTGTAAAAAGAGTTTTCATAAAGTTGAACAATTTTTGAAATTGATCAAGTACAGTAAACCCCTTATTAAGTCACTTTCAGAACCAAAAAATGTGTCCACTTAATAGAAGTGTTCCTGAATAGAGGTTGCAATAGTATATATTACCCTCATTTTGTGCCGGATAAGTGTCCTCTTATGGGTGTCCCTTTAATAGTGGTGTTCCAAAGAGGGGTTCTACTGCCAAAAAGGGGTTACTGTCATTTAAACAAAATATATAGCGGCTAGACTTACACAATCATTTCTGCATGAATCGACAGTGCTACACCAAAGTAGCCTACTGATTGCCTAGGCCTAGCTCAAATTTACTTTCATTATAATCCAAAATAATATAATGAGTAGCATTCACCAGTGTAACAAAATATCGTTTAAAGCTACATGGCAGCAATGATGTCAGTAGGAAAAAATATCAGTAGGAAGAAATATCATTAACAAAATAGTAATCCATTTCAGAATAATTGAGGCATGTCGTGGTGAAATGGTTAAGTTGTCGCACAGGCCAGTATTGAGTAAATGAACTATCAAATATGGGAGCTCAAAAAATGGCCTAAAAATCCAAATTTGTTTTTCACATAGATCAACAATTTAATGTCTACGAAAGCCCATTAATACCAATAAAGTATATGTTCAGTAATCCGTGATAACAAATTACTAATTCGTAATTACGGATTACTAATCCGTGATAACGAATTAGTAATTCGTTATTACAGATTACTTAATTTAAGATGGCTGCCGTCACTTAATGCCAGCCATATTAAAAACGGCTGTTTAAAACATCCTTTTTCTCGATGTACCCCCCTACCGCTAAATTTTTTATTTATAACCTAGTGATGCCAAATCAGCAGAAAAAACCTTGGTCCCCGAAAAATGGTTACAATAATAATAATGATAATAATAATAATTTGAATATTTATTAAGCGCTCTTATATGATATATATAATAACTTTCATTGAATGAGCCCTCATTTTAAAGATCACATACTCGGGTATCTGAAAATATCAATAACTTAAATTTCATTTTCAATTAGCTACAACTTAGCCATTTTGCCTTGATTATAATGTTTATAATATTGGTTTTTTTTTTTTTAGGTAAAATCATGAGTAAACATTTTTCAAATACATTATTAAATTTTTTTTAGTTATTATTAATGCAAAAGTCTGATTAGCTTGATATTAATTTAAGTATCATTAAGTAACTATAATTAATTAAATATAACCTAATTACTACATAAATATAATGTCTACTTTACTATTTCTCATTGTAAAATTATTATAAAGTGTTATGTATTGATATAGAACTATAATTTTATGTTGGTTTATGTTTTTGAAATAAATATTAAAAGCGTAACATTTTAAAGAAAAATGGTGTGTAGTGCCCTAAGCCTATGGGCTATGTTTTATTAGCCTGGGTGCAGTAGGAAATTAGCGGGAAAAAAGTAAAGGAAAATTTATTTTTGGTTTTTCTGAATCAGTATATCATATAGTGTCTCAGAAAAAAAATCCCCATTCTTAGAGCTTGGGCAATTTTTTTTATAGCACT